TAGGGGCGATCAGGCAGGCAGGCAGGCGAGCAGTTAGGAGCCAGCAGTCCCGGATTGTGAGAGGCAGTCGGACATCCCCCAAAGGATCCCGAATTGGAGAGGGTGCAGGCCAGGCTGAGGGACCCCACCCCCCTCCTCACCGCCCCCCTGGTGCACGAATTTCGTGCACTGGGCCTCTAGTATATTGATAAAAGATCTTTAAGCCTTTAAGAATGTATTAAGTATTCTACAATATAGAATGTATAGCAGAGTGCGTCAAATATATACTGACGTGGGGAAATCATTGTAAAACATACTTTTGTAATTAGATAAAAGGTAGCAGTTTATTTAATATTTCTTTCTCCAAGTTTAACTATACTTCAAATGTTCACAGAAAGATATAAGCCACATCTATAAAATACTATTTTCTCCATACAATATATTATGATAGTTTAGAAGTCAGAATTAATTGATCTTTGAATATCACAGCCTTTGGCACTAATAAGAAGAAAAGTTAAATTCTAGAGATCCTATAGAAGATTATGGTATTACAAAAAGATGTGTGCCAGTTTTAATTTATAATATAGAATTTTAGGAATTTTTTAAAATTTGATTTTCATTTGCATAAATTTTAGTGAAATAATAATATCACTTAAAGTGTTTAGTCTCTTATTCAGTTTTCCCATTCTGCAAAATTCTGAACAGGCTTTCATATCATTAATTTGGCCATCAGACATAATAGCAATTGCTGCCATTGATGCGTTTGAGCTAAGCACTTGTTTTTTTAGCTCACAATAATCCAATGAGGCACACATTCTTGTTCCCATTTTCCAGATGCAGAAACTAAGGCTCAGTATGTTTCGCTTGCTTTCCCAAGATCACAGTCAGGACAGTCAGGATACCATGGGCCAGATGAGATCCCCACTCTCCCTGCCCACCCACAGTATAACTGAGTGTGGCAGCACAGCCAATGACCTACCTGATACTCAACCCCTCTTCTTCCTTACTAACAAAACCCCAATTTTATTTGAGTAGCAACATACATGCTTAAAAATCCTTAATTTCACTGAAGTCTCTTTAGGGGAGGTGCCTGTATGTAATAGGTTATGGCCAAACCTGGAGGTCCTGGAGAGGGAATTCCTTCCCAGATGAAAAGTTCCCTTGGAGATAATCCTCAGATCCTACATTATTCCCCAAAAATTGGGCCTGGAGAATTCAGCTCCTACCTCTTAACCACAAGAACAACCCCACACTAATGCTACAGAATTCAGAAAGAGCCTGGCTCCCTGGACTTCTTGTGACAGAAGATAAATTCAACCCATTTCTTCAAACACTCTAATATAGTTCCCTACTATTTGTAACTGAAAGCCTTCCCTAAATAACTCATCAAGTAAGAATTTCATTGCCTGAAGTAGGTCATAATTTTATTTCACAAATCAGACATTGTTTAAAACCTTGGAGCTATGAGTCTGAGCTAACCTACTGGGCTCTGTCAATGAGTAAACCCAGAAAGGGCACACAAAAAATTTTAATGATTACCTATAGGAGGCAGGACAAATGGGGCAGATAGTGACCAAGGTGAGAGACAGATTTCTCAAAAAAACACCTGATTACATTGTTGGGATGTTTTTAAAGCATGAATATATAGTCTATTCAAACTATGTAAATAATGTTTTATAAGAAAGAAAATAAATCAAGGAAGAATATATTATCCTTATACTTTTCTGTCAAGAAATCAACAAAATATTACCTTTTTGGGGACTAGCAAACAATTCAAGGTGCTTCTCTGTAACAGTCTTCTTTTCAGCTGCTAATGACTGTAGGCAGATAAAAATAAAAATAATATTAACAACAACAATGTAGTAATTTATGTAATAAGGGCTAAAAACCAACAATATTTTGTTAAATATTCAAAACCTTAACTACATCCTCCTTAACATATTCCTCTCTGTTTTCCTTTATTTATATTTACCAATAATTATTCCCAAAGTACATACTCTTCATATACTTATAAATGTATTTTTATATTTTTCCTGAATCTAAACAGAAAACTGTCTAACATTTAGTTTATAATAGTATTGCTCCATATTGTATTTCAAAGTTACATTTACAAAAAATAACCTGAATATCTCATTATATATCTGAATATATAAGCATTGCATAATTATACTTCTTATAAAGAGGATGCTCAGAGCTCTTCTGAAAATGTTCTCAGAAAATTCTCAGTAGGTATCCTTCATATATAAAAAAAAGTATAAAGGTTTTGCATGGCATAAAGAGGTGAATACTAACATGCCATAACTATTAAAGGAATTCAAGGATGAGAAAAAAATGTAATATGGTTTCCTACTATATCATGACAGTATTTTCAAAGAAAATAAGAAAGGGAATTCCAAAGAAATAAAACTACAGTGGCCTGAACACTCAGATCTAAACAATTTTACTATAGTAAACCCTCAATGTTGCAGTCTTCAATTTAACAGAATTTGGATTTAATGAACAAAACTTCCGGTCTGGATGTTGTTTTAAAACACCCTGTTAATTTCAAACTGCTTTTAACCAACATTTGCTTATAATTAAATTAACAGTTGTTGTTTTTTTAATTCACTATTATTTTTAACAAATTTTAGTGAATAGGCTATATTTGGGGAAAAAAACACTATAGTAATTTTGCCAACACAAATAAAGATTACATTATCTACAAATATAGTCTATACTAGAAGCCCGGTGCTCAAAATTTTGTGCACTGGGGTCGGGGAGAGGGGTATCCCTCAGCCCAGCCTGCGCCCTCTTTTTTTTCTTTCTTTCTTTTTTTTTTTTTTTGGTGTCAGGAGTGGGATATGCAGCCTGCGCCCTCTTGCAGTCCGGGACCCCTCACTCCTTACAGCCCGCCTGCAGCGGAGACGGGAGAGGTTCCCACCACCGCCACTGAGCTCGCCAACTGAGAGCCTGGCTTCTGGCTGAGTGGCGCTCCCGCTGTGGGAGCGCACTGACCACCAGGGGGCAGCTCCTGCATTGAGCATCTGCCCCATGATGGTCAGTGTGCATCATAGCAACCAGTTGTTCCACAGTTTGGTCAATTTGCATATTAGGGTTTTATTATACAGGATATTTAAATCCAAGAGTCACCACTTATAAACAATGTTTGATGAATGATTAGCATGGGATCACGCCACATTGCACATTGCTTGTTGTTGAATGATGTGACTTTCTGGAGCAGTTATAATGTGTGCCAGCCAATGTCCTGAGGCGTGCTAAGCCATACCCCAGCCGTGTGCATTTGTTTGCTGGTGATGATTGGTAAATGCATGCATTTACTAGACCTATTCAGTATAAATTTAAAAATTATAGTAATATGTACAAAAAACTTTTCTGTGAAATTAAACTTTTCATGCGAACTTTAATTAAACAAACATGTCTACATAAGTAAAAACAGGTAAACTAATTTGTCAATTTTTTAATATGTACATTCGAAAACCCTACTTTATTACATAATGAACTTTCAGCTTAAAGGACACCCCTCGCCCGAATTAGTACTTTACCCGAGTCCCAGGAGAATCCTGAAATCCTTCTTCACACCTGAGCCATGCTTCTGCGAGGGAGGCAGTGGCCCCCACTGCCCTGAGGCCTGCTCTGCTGGACTGCGGTGGACACTCTCCGGGAAAGGAGGGGTATTCCACAAGATCCCGGTCTCTTTTTCTCTGTAGTGATAATTTTTAAAGAAAAAATAATCAACGTCACTAAGTTGACAATTAACATGGAAACCCAGAATGGCAATGGTGAAGGCATATTTTTAAATGTCTCTGAATCCCCATGTGAAGGAGTAATGTGACAGCAAAACCAAAAGTACAGAGACAACAATTACAACTTGTCAACAAAGTCCAAAATACAAATGGGTCAGAATAAACAATCCATCCTCCAAACTCATGCACGATATCATATCCGAAAGGCAAGAAGCTGAGAGAAGCAACGAAGGGCCTGTGCACAAAGACAACCGGTGTTCACTACAAAGCGGAGCAGGCGGCCTGAGAACGGTATCTGCAAAGGGGTAGGAATAAGGTCCCAACCAAGATCCGAAGGGGTGGGGCAGTCTGGGCTCTCAAACAACCAGTCAGCTGGGACCACCTCCCCCAAAAGGGCCCAATACTGCTGGTAGTCCACAGTGGAGGCCCAGTTCCCGTAATGAGCCTTAACGAGCAATCCGCAGGAACCTGAGGCTGCGTGGCGGCGACCCCCTGCCTGGAGGAGCTTGACAGGGGACTTCAGGCCACACCCCCCACCCTGGTGCCAGGCTGGGGAACCTCAGGGCGCCCCCCGCCCCAGCACCGGGCCGGGGGACCTCAAGCCATGACCCTATCCGGCGGGGCTTGACGGGGACCTCAGGCCATGCCCTCCACCCTGGCGCCGGGCCAAGGGACCTCAGGCCATGCTCACTGCCCAGCAGAGCTTGACAGGGTACCTCAGGCCATGTCCCCGGACCCACTGCTGGGCCGGGGAACCTGAGGCTGCGAGCCCCCACCCAGCGGGGCTTGACGGGGAACCTGAGACTGCGCCCCCCACCCAGCGCCGGGTCGGAGGACCCGAGGCTGCGCCCCCCACCTGGAGGGGCTTGACGGTGGTGGGGCTGGCTGGGTCTGGGTCTCACCCAATGAGGGTGGGGTCGGCCGGTTCTGGGTCTCCTGCATTTTCGAAGCGCGTGCAGGTGGTGGGCGGGGACTTGACTCTGGGTCCCTCGGCGCGCCCCAGACTTTGACAGGAGGCAGATTTTCATATGCATTTTATTAATTTTCTTTCATCTCTGGCACTTTTATTATAGAGAAAGGGCAAATAGCAATATTAAAATATTTCCTCTAACTCCCTTTTAATGTGCCCGCATTTCGTGCACCGGGCCACTAGTGTTGTGCTAAAAGTCAAAATTGAAGTAAGAGGCAGATTGTGTAACTTCTATTTTTAAATGAGGTGTTTAATTATGGAAGGCATGGTTAATAATGTTAATAGTGTTTTAATGACTTTCATTTATTTTTTCAGCCAATAAGCAAGAAATCCTGTCGCCATAGCCAAAATCTGATATAATTCCTCCTGTTATACAAGAGTCACTCTGTTGCTGTATTAAAAATGTCAATGCACAACATGTATTAAAATTCACCTGTATTTGCTTGACATTTTTTGTTTTTAAATATATTTTTATTGATTTCAGAAAGGAAGGGAGAGGGGGAGAGACAGAAACATCAATGATGACAGAGAATCATTGATCAGTTGCCTCCTGCAAGCCCCCTACTGGGGATCCAGCCCACAACCCCATCAAGTGCCTGTTAGGTCTGGTCCAAGAATTGAATCGATACCCCCTCCCCTGGGAACTGACCTTCAGACCACTTCACAATGGACATTCCACTTGCTAAGACCATTATCTGTCCCCCTCCCGCCCCCTCCCCCCCCCGGACTTCCCAGAATCCGGACCTGCACAGAGAATTTTCTGCCCAGAAGAAGCCCACCAAAAGTCCTTTAAACCGCTGACTCCTGTCACTGGGGTGCTGGAGCCATCTGGGGCTCAGTCACCTGGTGTGTGGATGATGGAATAAATTCGTAATCCCTCACCATTCTGGCCTCATGCGTTCCTCCTTCGGCAACCCTAACAGTTTCCTGACCAGGAATCCAACCATGACCTCCCGATTCACAGGTCGACACGCAATCACTGAGCCACAGTGGCTGGGCTACTTGACATCTTTTAAGATCTCTCTCCAAACTGCCTCAGTAATACCTCTCCCATCAAAGACTGGTGAGAATATGTGGAGTTTTCCTTCATGTGTGAGTAACACCTATTAAGAAGGATAGTAAATAAAAGCAAATCATAATTTTTAAACCTTAAGAGAAACTATTGCAGTGTTGAAATGCAAGCTAGCACCTACATACACTGCAATAGTAATGGAACAGCAAACTCGAGAAAACAAAACCTCTCCTTAAAAATAAAAATATCATCATCTAAGTCACAGTGGCATTCACATATGTGCCTGAATAGTCACCCTTTCTCTGCACTGTTCTAGCTCTCTGCTTTGCTCGCATGCGGGGCAAAGGTGACTTGTCCCTACAACATGTGCGGTGAATAGATGCAGTATGTTAATGTCACCCATGCAATAGCTGGTGTACCACCCAGCACAGTAAATGTTACCCATGCAATAGCTGGTGTGCCACCCAGCACAGTATGTTAATGTCACCCATGCAATAGCAGGTGTGCCACCCAGCGCAGTACGTTAATGTCACCCATGCAATAGCAGGTGTGCCACCCAGCGCAGTACGTTAATGTCACCCATGCAATAGCAGGTGTGCCACCCAGCGCAGTACGTTAATGTCACCCATGCAATAGCAGGTGTGCCACCCAGCGCAGTATGTTAATGTCACCCATGCAATAGCAGGTGTGCCACCCAGCGCAGTACGTTAATGTCACCCATGCAATAGCTGGTGTGCCACCCAGCACAGTAAATGTCACCCATGCAATAGCTGGTGTGCCACCCAGCACAGTAAATGTCACCCATGCAATAGCTGGTGTGCCACCCAGCGCAGTATGTTAATGTCACCCATGCAATAGCTGGTGTGCCACCCAGCACAGTAAATGTCACCCATGCAATAGCTGGTGTGCCACCCAGCGCAGTATGTTAATGTCACCCATGCAATAGCTGGTGTGCCACCCAGCACAGTAAATGTCACCCATGCAATACTGTCTGTGCATGTGCTCTGTGGCCAGACCCCGGGCAGACGCGGGTATAACAGCCTGGCCGCACTGAACCTCAGACTCCCGTCCCACAGAAGCAGGAAGAGAAGGATTCGGGAAAAGTTAGGGGCAGCATGGAAAGTGCGGCAACAGAGATTTGGGGGGCGAAGGGGTGAGTGGGAACGACAGCAGAGCCCCTCCAATACACACGCCGCTGTCTTGGTGAGTTACAGGAGTCAAAAAAAGACAATTAAAGAGCCACCAAACACCAGCGAGGGCAACTGTAGCTCACACGCTGGTTCCAAACCTAACTCCGAGCAGCGCCTCGCTTCTGTCCCCCCTGGCTGGCCCCCTGCCTCGCCCCGCGCAACCCCTCCCTGGACCTCCGCCCACGGCCGGGAGG